TAAAACCACTAGCCGAAGCTGTTGATTTTTTGCAAGGGGATAAAGAAGTGGTATATGGTTACCTTTTACCGACACTAGCAACTATATCTACAAAATACAACAACCTAATAAGGGCCGGAAAATTGGTATATTTTTGGCAAATAATATCCCCTTTGCTTGAAGCGGTAAAAGAACGGTTTAAAAATTTTTATGAGCTTAAGGAAGAAGTAACTTTATCTGCTTTATGCCCAGATGTGAAGCTGCAATGGGTTTATGCTCTGGATCCTATAAACGGCGACGCAAAAGTTGCAGAATTAAGTGAAAAAGTTAGAAAAATTATTTCGCGGAGTGCGCAAACGATACCATTGACCCAACTATATTTGCAAGCGACCGGCACCAATTTTTCGACTTTGGACGCAGAAGTAATCACGCTTTCAGATTTAATTGAATAATATGTAGTACACCTATTAGTTTAAAATAATACAAATATTTCTCCCTTGGTCAAAAACCTTAGGTGAAGTCGCCACATATGAAAACTTTACAATCAACAAAGCGGGAAAGGAGTACTGTAACTACATTGCAGACCCAAGCACTAACAAGGAAATGCTTTACAAGTACCCAGCATTACAAAAGTGCTACTTAAAATTTAATACCCCTTTGCCTTCATCAGCCGCGGTTGAAAGTTTGTTTTCTGCGGCGACAATTTTGAACTCACCACGACGTGGATCGCTTTCGGATGTCAACTTCGAAAAGCTATTGTTAATGAAAGCCAATTCTTTTTAAAATTGTTTTTCTTTAGTACTAAGTATTCACTAATTGCTGGTTGTAATCTATGTATTGCAAAAAACTCTGTGTACGTAAACCTTATTTGCTCAGTGTACAGTTGTTCACAAAATAATAGCAGCATTGCTTTTTCGCGATATAATTCCGTTGTGCTAAGAAAATAAGTTTTTGCATAACTTTATAAAAATATATTTTATCAAGCAACACACAAAAATTTAATTTCCGTATTGTATGCAAAACTGAGGAAAGTTCAAAATATTTTCATAACAAGTTATAGCTTTTTAACCTGGTTTTTTAGAAAAATTTTGAGTATACGGGTTTGTGGCCCCTTAAATTTTAGTATAATAAAGTGCGCGTTTAAAGAAGCTAAGAAATACCGTTTATTTTTCGCCATTTTTGTTTTGCTGGCCTCTCATGCACATTTTTTTCTACATAAAATCTAATTCGAACGTACGTTGTATGGCAGACAAAAAACTCCAAAAATCAACGGTAATTCTTCAAACCTGCATTTTATTATACTAGAATTGAATGGGGTACAAAACTGTATACTCACAAGTTTTTCAAAAAAACCGGGCTAAAAAGTTGAACGTTTTCGATAAACATTTTGTGGATTTTCCCATGATAAAAACATAACAAGGTAAAACCATTGAGAGGTAGTCTGACGTTTGCTAACAATATAATTTTAAAATCAAAACTCAAACTCACACACACATTCTCATTTTCAATCTCAAACAACAATTGTGAACAATTTAATTTTTTTAGTTTCAATTTTATGATTTTAAAATGTAGGCAAACGTCAGAAAAAAATCATGGCCGACGAATTGAGAGAATGAATTTACCTTGTAATGTTTTTATCTTGGATTTTCCTGAGTTTTGTCATAAAGTGCGGAACCCTAATTTTTGTGAAAAAGCTCTGCGTGCATAAATTTTATTTTCCTACCGTATGATAGAATTCGTTTTTATATGAAAAAATATGTGCAGAAAATTTTTTGATTGACTTTATACACACATTTTAAATTTGAGAAAGTATTTTTCGTGTTATTGATATTTTTGCAAATAATTTTGTTAAACCAGTTCATAATACAACAAAACCCATACATTTACACAGTTATTAAAATATTAATAGCTGGCGAAACATTTTCCAAAATGTAATACATACATAGATCTACATGTCTTTATATTATTAATTTCACTTCAAACTAATGTATGTACGTTGTGTTTAAATGAAAAACAGAAACTAAATACGGCTTTTATTTCTATCTATGCAGTTACATATGTATATGTATGCAAGTATGTATAAGTATATACAATTTGCTATGATGGAGCCCCAGAGGCTGATGATATAAAAATGTGTAGGTATTTAAGACTAACATTAAAAACTACTTGTATACACGAGGCATCAAAAAGCAGAGTGACTTCTTTACCGATTTGGAAAATAAACAAGATGGCTTCAGAAAATCTATAAATATAAAGGAATTGCATACATCCAGAGAAACAACCATTTACAAGTCTATTCTGCGCTGGTAATACAAATTTTGTAACCGGTAAATAAAGTTTCTCTCAATTTTTAAACCCATTTTGCATTCTGTGTACTCTTGTAACCGGTAAATTTCGTTAACATCTCATAAGGTGATAACAAAATATTTGCCTGTGAAATTTGTAATGCCAGAACTTCCACAATTCTTCATATCTGAATATCTGAATATATTACCAGCATTACCAACGTTCCTAGAATCGCGGTGACATGAACTGGTAACATTTTTTGGTAATAAAATTTTCCGGTTACAAAATCTTCGGTAATGTGCAGAATAGAGAGAATGGGAAACGAAAGATGCCGGTAATGAAATTCGTAAGATTTATCAAGCAAGAGTTTTAAAAACTGTCAATTCTATTGACTCTGTTTTATATTTCTATATATAGTTCACTAGTTTCGAATCTAATATATGTGTATGTATGTATAAAGATGTGTCCTTTGTGCTCGACGGCTTATGACAGAAAACGTCCATACTTACATGCACATTGAAATAAAATATTTGTTTTTTTTTCAATTCCAGATATGTTTAAACTTTAAAGTATAAAATGTATCAACCCTGGGGAAAAAAGCATTAGTACTGAATGGTAAAAAACGTGTGCATTCATTTTGAATATACAATTATGTCTGTGTGCGAATGCTTCTGTTACATTCACATTCTATACTGAGGGCCTGTGCCAATTGATAGAAAAGTTCTCTGGATAGTAAATTTTTGACAGCTATGAGGTGAATAAAAATGTTTGATACGGCAGGGCTAGTGAAAAATTTGACAGCAAGCATTATCAAGAAGAAGAACGAACAACGCACGTATACACATAAATTAAAGAAAACAAAAGCGAGTGGAAGTAAAAGAAAATGGTCCCGCCGGCAAAAAAAATAAAGAAAAGCTATATAACTTGTAAGATTTAATTTCAGATTTACATATGAAAAGGCGTTATGTATTTTTTTAATTAAAAATACTATTTTACAGGGAGCAGTTCAGAACGCAGAATCCTTCTGGAAAGGCGAATTGACAAGGATGTTTGGTTCAGCTCAAAGAACGCCAACAGCAACGAAGGCTGGAAGTGAGTAAGAACAATATAAATAATTTGAAGACTTTATTAAGAAGTTTTTTCTTAGAAAAATCGCGAAAGTGCTGAAGCATGTAAAGCACAATGGAATGCGTTGATTAAAAAATATAAAAGCTTTTTCAAATACCGCTCGGGCGATGGAACAGGTGAAGAGGCGACTGCTGAAGAGGCGAAAGATTGGGAGTTTTTTGACTGCATCCACTCATATGCCTCCAAGAAAGATAATTTTCACCCTCCATTTTTAATTGATAGCGGCGATGGTGAGGTGTCGATGCAGCCAAGGAGAGAGGAAAACGCCACATTTGTCTCGGCACTGCAGCCGGTTGAGTCCTTGACAAATTCGCAGTCGACGTCTAGCGAAGAGTCGAGACAGAGTCCGCTGCCATCAACATCCCGGCGCTCTGCATCACAAAATGGCGTTAAGCAACTAGAACGCCACATTTATAAAAGGGATAAAAAAATAAATAAAAAAATATCAACGCTTTTGGCTGTATTTGGGCAAATGGTGCAGACGGACTATCCGCACATCGACGCATCAGCGCTGCTCTTGACCTCAGACTCGGATTCTGAGTAGTCCGTGCCATTAAGAAATATTTTTAACTGAATTTTTTTATTTTATCTTTTTTATGTAAATATTTTTTTGGTAGAAGTGTAGTACTTAATTTTTTGTTTTGTTTGTTGCTTGAATTCACTTTAATTTATTATTTTTATACAACATGTACCTCTAGATATAAGAAAAACCAGTACAATAAGTAATGTGATGAATTTTTTTAGTTTAAGATATATTACTCTTTTTAAAAACTAGTAGGCTTAGTAACAAAATGGATCTCCATATATGATTTTCTTTTTATTGTGATGGTATTGAATACCACTTTATATTTTTAAGTAAATGTAAATAAGACTGATATGAAAAAAACTAAAAAAAAAATAAGTATTTTTGATATGCATATGTAAATAAAAACCTAAGAAACTCTTTAATTAAGTCTTGTTTTATTGATACTTAAATAGTTTGAAGGAATTCATTGAAAATTTCATTTCGTACTCTTAAACCATCTTCAGAGTCGGATATATTTCGCGCAAATTGGACCGATTCTATATTAATAGTTTCATTCTCAGTAGCCAGGGAAGATAGGTCAAAATCATCTGCAAGAATGCAAATGTTGTGCAATATAAATGCCGCAAATACGGTTTTTATACAGTTTTCAATTTTCAATTCCAAATCTCTATTAAATATGTTTCTCCATCTATTTTTTAAAATTCCAAAAGCTGCTTCAACAACTATTCTTCCTCTACTATGCGCAACGTTGAACCTGGCTTGATTTGATGTCAGAGGTTCTTTGAATGGGGTGATAACTGCCACCGGAAACGTTTGGCATGGGTATCCTTTATCACCGAATAAGAATTGGCCCCGGGGAGGATAGTCTCCCCTAGCATATAAGGGGCTATTCACAAACACTCGTGTATCGTGTACAGATCCTGGGTAGCCAATGAAAACATCTGTAAATTTATAATCGCTGTCCACAACCGCCTGCGCCTGGATAGAATAGAACCTTTTATGATTGATGTATTCATCGTGTTTGTTGACAGGACATTTTATGCGAATATGTGTGCCATCAATCGCTCCAACAAAATTACGAAACGCGTTTGATTTTGTTTTTTGGCAGAATTTATCAGCAACCCTTTCATTTTCTTTTGCAGTTCCATGCCGTATTAAACCACGCATTGCAATAATTTCTTTCAAGGTTTTGTGAATAACGTTTCGTGCAGTGAAACGGCTTATGCCTAAAAATCCAGCAACTACTCGATAGCTGCATCCACATGCCATCCAATACAAAAAGCAAATGACTTCGTACTCCACTGACCATCCGTGGCGCTTTTTGGGAATGTGAGTTACAATTTTTCGAAACGAAGCAGAGGACAACCTAAGATGCATTTTTGTAGTCTTGTTATCGCCGTTCATAATGCTGCTTAGTATTTTGGAATAAACGTCTTGTTGCATGTACATAATACCCTAAAACGACATATGTTTTTATTGCAAACAATTGTACACGGTTTTAAAAATTTTTGTGAACACACTTACCAGACGGTTTTGACGTGTTTTTATTTCTAATATTACTGCTAAAAGGTCTAATAAATGCATGGATTTCAGTTCCAGAAGAATTGAAATCATCAAAGGCAAATATTTTCTATATAATTGCTGCATTTTATAAATTGCAAACTCGATAGTCTTCTTGTGCATCAAAGCAACTGTCAAAAATTTCCAGCAGTAAAAAGTTACGAATTGGCACAGCAGAAATGTAAAATTTTCTCACCATAGTAAAAAGTTTTTCCACCATAGAACTTTTCTATCAATTGGCACAGGCCCTGAATGCCAATCTACCATTCAATAACACAACACAGTTTCTTTGTTTTCAAGTATTTTAAGCCACTCAGTAATGAGGTTTTTTTTAAACAAACGAACAATCAAAATTTTGAAAAGAATGCCGGGTGAATGCAGGTCCTACTGATTCAATCATTTTACAGCTCTGTTCGACACCAACTGACGGTATGCAGTTTTATAGTCGATTCAATTTCAGTATTATAAAGTGAATGTGCAGCTTAGAATTCATGTTGAGTTTTAATATTTCTTTGCATTTTCTTTATACAAATTGGATGTACAAAAATTTCAGTATGGATAAAAAAGTGCAACACCTTCAACGAAAAAAGTTCTCAAAAATCTACGCGAATTAAATGTACTATCCCGATCATTTAAACATCTCGGACTCGCCCACCACTAAAAATGATTATTTAAATCTAAAGTATATATTAAATGATATTTAATATTTGCTTTAGAGACGTTTAAACAAAAATGTTAAGCGCATATGCAGAATGTGGAAGCGGGATTCTTCTGCTTGCGTTTCTATATTTATATCATTTATCATTTTAAGCACATACGATTAAATGTAAAAAAAAAAACAAATATTTTTAATTGCGGATCCGAAAGAAATATTTATTAGTTGCATTGAGTTACGCAAAAATAGTGCCGAAAATCAATCGATTGTGCAGAAGGTGCCGGCTGCTTCCGAAAGGGCCGAAAATGGCACAATGACACTCATTTTCCATCACTGTCACACATACAATCCCACCACGATTGAGAGAAATAGATCTAATATAGAATAATCCGCTCTTTGTGATTTTGACAGAATCAGCTGTGTGCGTGACGTCATCTTGGTGCAATTGTTGATTGTGGGCATACGAAATAACCAAATAACAATTTTAATATATGTGCGTTAATATTTCTGCGTGGTTTTAAACAATTATTTAGACATTACAAAGCAAAATGAAGTGTGCCATGCCACATTGTAATAGTGAAAACAAAAGGAAAGCGTGCGATATAAGTTTTTTGTGGAAGCAGTTATGACGGCGAGAAGATGCATTAAACACCAAATCGAGCTATGTGTGCATGAAGCACTTTACTAGTGAAGATATTGAAATTAATATTTTTAGTGCTGGTATGAGGTAATGCACCAGTGGATAAGGTCGCCAGGCGCTAATTCAAGCGGCATCTTACCGCACTGTTACGTACCTAATACAAAACAGTGGCCAAATTATTATACATTTAAAAGTTCAGCTTAAATTATGTTTTACTTACATAGAATATTTAATTCCAAAGAAGCCACACTCATGCATCCTCTCGGAAATGGTACAAAAGTCATAAAATAAAAGCTGTGGAGTTTATGGTGGTTGGCTACCGTCCACAAATATAAATATGCACTCTGCATGGCTTTTTAGAATGGCGAGTCCAAAAATTCACTTTGCGGCAAACCTTCCTTCAACATGAAATTGCAAACACTGGTTATACATCCATTTTTTCATGTGCTAAAAATCGTACTTACCTAAAGGGCTACATGTCCAAAGTTATTGCCATGTAATATTAAAATTAACACATTTCTCTGCATTGTTTACATATTTTTATATGCGTTTTGGCATTTCTCTCTTGCAATTGCACCAAGATGACGTCACGCAAAAATTACGCTCAAAAATCCTCTCTCATTGGCGCGATCTTGTATTCTATCATTCTTGCAATCTCACTATTCTGTTGACTTCGTTTTCCCCTTCCGATAACTTTTTGCTTCCGCGATTGCCCAGCACCGCTGTGCAAAGCTTTGCACGCGCAGTCGCCCGCGACACGTATGTGCTGATTTGGCGCTATTGGCTCCTACATTCGGGTTTTGATAGGCGAGTGTCCCTTGAACCGTTGTTTCCATATTTTTGGCCTATGCGCGCTTTTATTTGAAACCTAAATGTTTCGGTACCGAGTATCGAAGTATTGGATACTTTTTACATCGGTACCGAATGTCGATCAATACTTAAAAGTATTGACTCAGCACATCACTATTTTTGACAAGCAATAGTTGCGATCCCGTACGAGTCCGGACTAGTCAGAATCAGTCAGATTTTACTGGAAATCGATCCCGTACTCGGTTCTCTGACTACTGAGAGGACAAAAAAGAGAATAAATACGGTTCCCTCTCTGTCAGAAGTTACCAGTTTTAGTCCGAGAATTTTTTGCTGGTAAATTCTGGTAAATGTGTCAAACGATCAGCTGTAGTATGTTTGGCATCCAAATTGTAAACAAAATAAAAGTGCACTCTGCTAATTCATGTTGAAAAGTATTTAATTACTTGTTTAAGTGGATTCTATTGAATTTGAAAGTATTTTTGGTTATTTACATGTTTGAGCTGAGTGTGTTTACATACAAAATAAGCAAAAATTTACAACCAAAATTTGGAGGTTATGTTGAAGTTGACAGAAGTTACCATTTTTTACTAGAAAGCGATCCCGTACTTTTCAATGTTACTCTCTCGTTCTGAGCGAATTTTTATTTTTTGACAGTTTTACTAGTCCGAGTCCGAGGAATACGGGATTGCACCTAATAGGAGCGTTCCTTATCTCCCAGAAATAGTCAGAAAAAGTCCGAAGTAGTCAGATTTAGTCCAAAAAGCGTTCCTTAACTCGGAAATGACAGCAAAAAAAGAGAGCAACAGTCAGTGAGAGTGACTCTCATCAGTCCGAAGTAGTCAGATTTAGTCAGAAGAATTTTTTCTGGCAAAATCCTGAAAAGTGTCAAACTCAACTGAATTTAAATTAACGGAAATTAAAGAATACGCAAAAAGTGAGAATAATCTAAAAAGTAAAAGAAATGAATTGAAATTGGAAGGAGGCAAAAAATAATTGATATAGCAAGTGTTTATTGTGCTTGTGCTTGTGTGAATGTGTTTTGTACATACATTTCTGTTCTTATTTGACGTTAGTTTTGTTGTTGCCATTCTTTGGACTAAAAATTTGGTTTTTTGCGTTCCTTTACTTTTCCTGTTATTCTCTTTTAGTGAGCGCATTTTGCTTACGCTCTGGCATTTTGACACTTTTCAGATTTTAGTCCAAAAAGATAAGGAATGAACCTAATGTGTGTGAGGAAATTGAAAGGCAAAACTGATTGTGTGTCGTCAGCTTGAGAATCTCGCTTGCGTTCTGCTTTTTTCTCTCGCGAGCGAGATAGAGTTTTGTTGACTGGGCATTTGACAGCATACTTTTTCATTTGTAAAATGTCGCCAAACAAGAAGGTTCAAGCCTTGCAGGCTCTTAAAAGTTTGAGAAAATTAGAAAATCTGCATAAAGAGATGTATACTATTTTCAAATGAAAAATGGCTGCCTCTAAGTTTGTATTTGCCTCCAAAATAAACGATGTTGCTACTCTGAAGAATTCTGCGAAATGAGAACATAGCTGTCCAGCAACAAAAATGAAAGTTGAAAGCAAGCGAGAGCTCGCATACCGCTCGGTATGCGAGAAAAAGCATGCTTCGTACTTTTTGCGGTCTACACGTGCGGTTTCTCGCATGCGTCGTCACGCAAGCGAGATTTTCCAGCACGTGAAGACGGCCGGTAAAATAACCTTAGTCATAAACATTTGAATTTCATCATCCGCGTCTTTGCTAAACCACTGTCGAAGACATGGATGATGCTGAATAATTAGCTAACCTTTATCTTATAAATATATTTGAAATGTAATAGAATTACTTATAATGAATTTACATGAAGAATTAGTCACCCTTTACTTTATATACATATTTGAAATGTAATAGAATTACTTAATTCGAAACTGAACATACTCACTATCCTTATATATATATATGTTTAAAATTGTACTAGAATTCCTTTTGAACGTACTGAATTGTCAAATATGTACTTTTTCCGAATGTGAGCTCTCGGCACACCCGTACACCGGTATGGGGGCACTCGCAATCGAATCGTCGACTAGACCAGTTTATTAAATTCAATTTAACCTACAGTCCACTATATTTTCCCATTTTTGAATAAACTCGGAATAATTTGTATTACCACAAAATTTGCTTTACTTATTCAATTAAATATACTCAAACACACCCTTTTACGTTGCTAAAGAGCTACGGTGCAGCGAACAAAGGTGGCGCCGTCAGTGGTACCGCTACTTTGGTTTTGCCGATTTTGACAGTTGTGGTAACTTGTAAATAGACCTTTGTTTACAAATCAGCGAAAGAGAAATATGAATTATAAGTGAAAAATCAGTTTAAATTGTGTTAATTTGCAATTTGTGAGTGATTTTTGAGTTGAAGACTGCGTAAAAACTAATACAATGAAGTGATGTGTGTTAAATTGCGACAGCCGTCAAGATGCAAGAAGCGTAGATGCAAGTGTAGCGCTGGGACGAATCGCTGCATTTTGTGTACATAGGGCACGGCAAAGCCGTTCCCGAAATATTTCTCTATTATTATATTAACAGCAATTCCTCACAATGATTTTGTTTCTGCTCCACGCAGCCTCCATTAGCAAGTTAACTAATCAATCCCGCAGAGATGCTGCTGCAGTTTTCTGCAGCAGCCTTAATTGCAAAGCAATGGAGTGTACTAAAACGTTTGCTGAAGCAGCCTCAATTGCAAAGCAATGGAGTGCACTAAAATGTTCACTGTTCTCTAATAGATTAGGTGAAAAATGCAATATTTTCGCATTTAGCAAAATTAAAACACGTTTTTCGCTGTAAAGTGAACTGCTTTGGCAGTTTCAACTCGTTCTTCTTTTCGCTCTATTCGTTGTTTACTTGTGGTACACAAATGTCAACGCCCAGGACGGCGCAATCTTGTATTCTATCATTCTTGCTAAAGAGCAACATATGGTCCATACGCGCCATCAAAAAGAATTGGCAGCACTTAACGCGCAAAGCACTCTAAACAAAGCTGGA